TGGGGAGCAGTGCCGAAGAAAAAGCAGTCGTGCAGCAGTGGTTGGAATTCCGGGTCACTCAAGTAGATGGACACTCCACTAAAGACGACATCCGCATTCTGCTGAAGGTACTGTGACTTCTCTTTATGGGCTGACACGCAGGACCTCTCTCAGACTTATGTCTTTGCCAGTGACTCACACTGACTGTAAGAATGGCTATCCTAAAGTCAACACTTAACGTTTTATGTCCCAAATGACAGACTGTATTTCCAAGCACAAATTTTGTAGAGTCATTAAGCGATTCCATTTTTTAGACATCAGATTTAAATGTAATAATTTGAACCACAGCAGTCCATTGGATAAGAGACGGGTTGTTGGTGTTTAACTACCGTACTGTTAATTGCGTGAAGGCTACAGAGCAGATTGTCAGCTTGTTACGTTCAGCTGTTCATGCGCATTTTGCGTCAACTCTCGCGTTGCAGTCCCCTCCTCGACCGCTTCTCCCCTGTGTCTCCTGTATCCATCCTTCCTCCTTTCCTAACCCTCTGAACTCTGTCTTTAGGTAAATGCTGCCTTCCTTATTTCAAATGGTTGATTTTTCTGAAGTTTGTGGGCCTGTCTACTGTTGGGCTGAAAATTGAACTACAGGGTGAATTCAGTTCCAGGGCTGACGGGGTAACTAGGCCATGGCAGGGTCTCAGGCATTCCCATCTTGATCGGACCAGTAAGCCTGGTCTCTTAGGATTTCTTCCCACTCTGATCCCAGTCTTTCTGATGTGATCCTTATTGGAACAGTTGGTAGTGGTATTCAAGTGCCATCTAGTTCAGTGGTTCTCAACCTGTGGGTCGTGACTCCTATGGGGGGGTCAAACAACCCTTTCACAGGAGTCACCCAGTTGATAACAGTAGCAAAATTACGGTGATGAAGTAGCAGTGAAAATAATTCTATGGTTGGGGGGCCACCACAACATGAGGAACTGTATTAAAGGGTCGCAACATTAGGAAGGTGGAGAACCACTGCTCTAGTTATTCTGGTATCAGTGTGGTGGAGATAGATCTTTGTGTGGCCCTGTAGGCCGCTAGGCCAGTTGTTTCCCGATGTCTTGAATCTTCTTTCCTCATAGTGAGTAGATCCATACCAAACCTGAGGTGACTGCTCTCAAGCTTTTCATGCCCCAGTTGCTATTCACCAAAGTC